AWKRAMYKRAAWWWTYMAAAATGAGCCCCCGATTTAGCCAAAGGCATTGGGTTGCTTTTTCTTTTTTTCTCATCCTTACTACACATGCAACAGGCCTAGGCCTGACTACCCCACACACAGGTTTCAAGTCATAATTCATTGATTATCCAACATTCAGAAACTTCATTTTCTTAACTGTAATGATCCAATTGAGCGAAGCGGTGGGAGTGGGTGATCATGGCCAGGATCGGATTTTAGGCCTATGACTTTTATTTATGAACTAGTTGGGCCCTGTGCGATGCACCAAGGCTGCAACCGGATCGAATCGAATCCGGTAAGAGATCCGATTCGATTCGATAATAGTTTTTACTGAATCGAATCCGTTAATAATTCGGCGGATTTAATAAAACCTGATTCGAATTTGGTCCGTTAATCTTAACGGATATTGATTCAAATCCGATTTTATTTACATAAAAATGAAAAAAAAAAAAACACTTTTTTCACCAATGGCCCAGCCCTATTTTAGGATAAAACCTGCCATTACCTATGAAATTTTCTCAAATGATACAGGTATACATGTGAACAAGAAATCCTAAAAACTATTTAAAAAAATCATCACAAGAAAGATGGAATAAACAGCAACCGTTCAGCTGCCGGTGGTGACAACAAAAGAGGGTGATGCCGCCAGTGATGGAATAGCAGAACCAGCAACCGCTCAGCCGCAGGCCCGCAAAGGATGAGAAGACAGTTTCAACCGCTCGGCTCGAAAATGTAGAACAGCGGCAACGCCAACAAGCCAGCAGCCAGAAAGTCGGAGAGGCGAAGACTAAAGGCACTGTCGCACCAGCACCAAAGAGGAACTGGCAAAGGCTGTTGGCGTCGAACAACCCAAGAGGAAGAGGAAGACCGAAATCTGAAGAGATTCAATCCTGTTAGATCGTATTTAGGTTAGAGATTTAGGGCTTTATTACTTGTAAGTCAAATTACAATTATGTACATAATAAAATTATAAATTTCCAAATACATAAACCTAATTAAAAAATAAACTAAAGGATATTTATATTAGTGGATCGAATTGGATCACGACAGATTTGGATCGGTCGATATTCGAATTTGATCTGTTAAATAAATGGATCAGCTTTTCCTATGCGATCCAATTTGTTAGGATCAGGAGGGTATCCAAACCCGTCCGTTAACGGATCATCCAACTCATTTGCAGCCCTACGATGCACAGGCATTGTCAAGAAAAATTGAAGTAAAAAGAATCATATGACATTCTAAATGAGCATATCATATCATATCTTTAGTTCATTGATATATTTTATATGAATAATTTAATAATTTTAATGTATTTAGATGAAAATGGATGATGTGGTATATCTCTTATCAAATTTTCAAAGAAAATAAGTTTTAATCAAATGAAACTCTCCATACCCAAATTTTGCAGTTGTAAGTTTGTTCTCTCCCTCACTTTTCACTCAATGGTTGACCCCCCCTATGGCTTATTCATAAGTTTTGGCTCTCTTCATAAAAAATTCCTGGCTACGCCCTAATGAGAACCATGATTTTGTGTAGCTGATTGAATAAAAAATAAGTTGTAATGAGATTAACAAATTTCCTATGTTGTATATAATTAATTATCTCTAAATGAATTTACCAAAGTTATTAAATTAATAAAATTATTGTTTGATAATTATGAAAAATTATTAATAT